GAGCTGGTTGTCTTTAACAAGGGATTGTAGAGGAGATGTACCTTCTTCTCTCATTCCTGAGGGTCAGTGGCAGAGACCCAAGCAAAACCGGAGTATCTTGACCCCCTCTCAGAGGATTAATGGTATCTTGATGCACTGCAGGTACAAATAAGTACCAGAGACACGTCTACCTGAACACAGCCTAAGCTAATCTTGGCACAGTTCTTCAAAATATTTCCTTTTATTTTCAATCATTTTTACAAATCTTTTACCATGTTGGAAGGACATGTCACATTATGAAGCCTCCACTCTGTGGATTACACATCTCTTAGTTTGTTTAGACCAATACTCTTATTTATACTTATTTATTAATCAAGGGGCCTGATAAGCTGCTGCAAATAAGGCTTCCGCTGGTTCAGTAGTTTAGTAGGAGGGTCATCTGAGGATTAGAATCTATAAACAGCCTTTATGAAAAGATAAAATTTTTTGTCAATTAATTGGCCTAGAGAATCTTGTCATTTCAATCTGTCATTGTTGAATTTTTTTTTACTGCAGCATTTTGAACCGAAGCAAAAAAGGAAGAGAGTCTAGTTAATGCCTTTGGCAAGCTCTGTTACTTAATAGCTTCTCGAAGTCCTAAATTTCTTCTTTTTTCATCTTAATTAAGACTCTTAATTGACCTTCTCTGCTCTCTAATTTTTCCCAGTAAAGAACTAAAGAATAGGCTTCTAAATTATTTTCTGCAATCAGATTGACATGAAATTGCTGGTCTACAGATCATCTTCACCTTAACAAACTTTTTTGTTCCATTTTTATTTTTTTTTACCACTGAAGTCCCCACTGGAAATCACGGTCCATTGAACCATAGAGCTAGAATTGATTGTGCACATAAAAACCTGGGAACAATTGAACAAAGGAGAGAACTTTCTGGAATTCTGTGGTAAAATCAGAACTCAAATGACAACAAAACTTTTATCCAATTTGAACTCACCTGCCCTTGATCATTAAGAAAATATTTGATGTTCCTCCATTTTTCCCTGATGAAAGAAGGAACTAGTTTTTCCTACATTTAGCCTACATCAAAGCAGATGTCAAAGAATATGAATTTCAGCCTCCAACATTGTTATGTGGCACTCTCTATTCCATCTTCTTTATATCAATTTCTTATGCTTTTTGTAAAATATTGGAAAGCTAAGTCTAAAGAACCCTGGCTAATTGCTTTTTTTTTTTTTAATTAATTTTTAATTAAAGCTTTATGGATCACACATTACAATTCTAGCAATCCTAAACACATTTTTTACCAATTCCTTCTGAAAAATAGAAGGCAGGTCTCCTTTTTAAGGTGCTGTGAGAAAATATAGTCCATTTTTTCTACTGGAGTTTATGGAAAGCATTACTAAAAATGCAAATTCCATGTTTTGAGACTTGAAACTTGCAAGTAACTATTAATCTTGGAGCTTACTTTTATATTCTGAGATGAAATAATGACATTTTAAGCACTTAAACCTTCACTGAGAGCAAGATATGCAAGCATATACTTTGTTTCAAGCATCTTAATTAAGTAGATTCCATTGGTCTTTTCATGTGTTTAATGTTAAGCAAATGCCTATGTACTTTTCTGAAATGCTGGATGGTATTTAGCAGAATGAATTACATCCCAATAAGTAACATTTCTTTAAGAATCCTAATAATGTAGGAAGTATGCAAAACAAGCTTTCATTTTCAAGATAAGCAAAGTAACTTTTTGTGAGCATTGCCTTTTCATTGCTGCATCCAGCTGTAAGTCATGTCTTGAAAGCAAAACCATCTTTTTAAATGCATCTTTTGAAAAATAGTGCATTATTTTCTCCTGAGCTCTTGAGACAATTTCCTGCCTATATCTGGTGCACCATTAATTTTAGAGTATAAGAAAAAGTCACTGTGAGCCTTAGGGAACAATTTTTGATTTGCTGCACACACATATATCACAATAGATTTGCCTATAGTAGTTCTATGGATGATGTTTAACAAACTCCTGTTTTCCCTATTTTGGGATTAATGTCCTCCTTCCCTCAGATCTGTGCAGAGCCATAGACTTATGCTACACATAAATGGAGGATTCTTCTCTTTTCAGTGTGTAAAATTTGAAATTTGAATGCAATTATAGTAACAAGAGGAACTCTTTCTAATGAGTCGCAAAAAGCTCTGGCCAGAAAACATGTAAAACTCTCATATAGAGAAAGAAATTAAGTGCACGGTGTTAGCATAATAGCAAGGGTTGAGACATTGCTTTGCACTACAGTTTTATGGGATGATATTTTAAAAGGTATTCAGAGATTTATGACTTTTTAGGGACAGCTAAAACTGTTTTCACATTTCTAATATTGCTTTCATTAGAATGTTGAAAGTATTTTTACAGTATCAGATTGAATTCTAAAGTGTTACCAAATCATTCAGAATCCCCACTGCTTAAGTATATTCCCCTGTATCCTTATGTATCTTCAGAGGAAAAAATGGGAGGAATGCAAGTGCTTTGTTTTAAAGTATATAATCTGTATTCTGTCATGTACTTCATCTCCCAGGGAAGGTATCTGGGATCTCACTCTGCTCTTTTTATTTATCCTGCCAGTATAGTATATAGATGAGAGGACTAAGGTCCAATGGTGTTAAAACAAGGCATGAAAAATTGATTAATTCTTTTTTAAAATTCATTTTTTTCCTCCTGAGTATAGCAAATTTCAGACGCTACTGTCAATGTAGTACTCTCCAATAAACCTCCATTATCATAAGGGTCCTGATATTCCTAGTGTTCGAATAAATGGTTATTATGATTCTAAATGACTTTAAAAGCTCAAGGCTAGTGTTCTTTGGTGCAAGAGCAGAAAGCAAGTTAGAACTGATGCAGCTTTTTATCATGGCAGAATGTTACTCTGAAGTAACATGAATCGGATTGGGAATTCTCTGCTAGACAGTAGCAGAACATTCTGTTTGAAGAAATGAAGAACCTAACAGGACAGATAAACAGATGTAGGTTTCCTGGCTATAAAGGCGCCAAGTAAGGAGGCACAATTATAGTTGGTGTCCACCTAATGACACACAGATATTTGACACCCTGCCTTTTGTTCCCAACTGTCATTCTTCAGTGCTAAATTAATGCTTTATTTATTGTTTCCAGAACGGTCCTTTACAAAAGCAACTAAGTGGATACTTGGGAGTTTTCTCAAGGAAAAGGACATTTCAGGAAAGGTCGGAATAGAAGTTCACACCAGCTAACCCATGGTCAAGGAAGAGAAGATATAGCCCAAACTATTTTTGTGTTGAGAACAATAAAACTCTCCAGAAGTTGAAATAATTGTTTTTCACTTAAAAAAAAAAAAAAAAAAAATTGTTTAAACTGGAGTGTAGTGGAGTTCCATTAGGAATGTAAAGCTCTTGGAGATTTTCTACTATGCATAATAAAAGGTATTCATCAGAGAAGGAATTTGAATCTCAGTTTTGTATGTGTCAGGTAAATGTCATTATAAAGGTTGTACAACTACTTTTTCACCATTCATCTTAATAAGCATTTAGTCAAACTTCAACAAGAGCAAGCAAGGAAGTAACGCAGAATCTGAGCCAAAAGCCACTGATTGGCAGATTTACCTGGAAGGCAGGAGACGACAGTACGTTCTTGCTCTGAATCAGTAAGAAACACCTGAGGTTGGTTCTGTCTCACAGGAAAGTTGGGGTTTATAGGCTGGATAGGTTGCTATATATATTTTTTTTTTCCACATGAAAGCTTAATTCCTACCCCAGGATGAAAATGTTTTCAGAAGATTTTGTTGATGGGGATAACTGATTCACACACAGGCATACTTGGGAGTTCTTTTGCAGCAAAACTTAATTGTGTGCAAACCTTATGCTACGTTAACTTATGATGGAGAACAGACTACTCCCTGCTGTACCCAAAAGCTAAGAGCTAAAATATGTGGCACAAAACTAAATTATCCCCTCCTCTCATTCACACCCATCTCTCTCAAACTGAGCCAAAGTTGAGGCTCTGTTAAGATGGTTTTATGACTTCTGTGATATCTTTCTTTGGAAGCTGGACAAGTTATTTATAATTTGAAGGTAATTATTTTTACTGATTTCAGTCAAAATGAAAGCAATACATTCACAAAGCTGGACTTCAATCAGTTTGTAAGCAGTGAGGGCTAAGTGTGTTCTTAGCACTTACAAGGTTTTAAGGCAGTAAGTCTTGCTTGCCTAGGTTATACGGGTAGCTCTGTTGACTCCCAGTCCCCTGTTGGTAACACTTGCATGAGTAAAGTGAACAGGACTTGGTCTGTAATTAACAATGCATATGTTTGCTCACATAGCCAATGAGTGAGCCAAATCCTTACACCTCATTTGTTCTCACTCATGCAGGTAATACTTTTGGACTGAGCTAATGCAACTCTTATCTGAGCAAAGGTTATCAATCTGGGCACTGTCCTCTTGTGTTTTTCTCTCTGCTAGGTTATCCTAAAGAATGGTAACACAGACTTATGTAGAGGGTTATGCACAGAATTTTGGTTTTCAAAGCCTTGTATTAGATGTTTTTCTACCAAAATGTCCTTGAAAGTTTCATTATTGCATGAATTTTCAAGATGAGGATAGCCCACTGCAGATTAAGACTTTGATTGTGGAAGAGGATGGTGCATGCTTAATGCACATAGCACAAATTCTGCTGGTAGTTTGTTTTTTGGTGAACTTTATCTCATTTTGCACACTCTACCAATGGCTATCTTTTGGATGTAAAAATAAATTATTTTCTGTCTCATGGGAGATGTATTGTTTGACTTCAGATATTTAACATGGTATTTTTTCTGTGGACAATAGCTTGAGGCCCCAAGCTGGGAAGAATGAGAGCATATATATAAATAATTCAAAATAATTGTATGGTTTTGACAGATTGTCAAGTTGCTTAATGCCTTTTGTCCCAGGTAATAGATTATATTTCTTTGATGAAGTGTTGATAATTTCTCACTGCAATTTGTTTTGTGTATGTTGTATTTTTACAGAGTCCAGTCAGGTTCATATCTCAGTACGGGTTGGTTTACCTTAATTTTGGCTATGGATGCCTGCTATGGAATTCACGTCTATGGGATGATAAATGACACCTACTGCAAGTAAGATCACTGGAAATTATTTTCATGCATCTACAATTCTGATGTCTTGTCAAAATTTCACAATTGATTTTAATATCATAAATCCAAAAAATGGATCAGGCAGTCATTTCCCAGTGTTTTTGATGTGACACTATTGTCAGCATATTTAGACCTGATATGTCATTTGCTGTTGATAAAATAAAAACATTTATAGAATCTAACATCAGATGTCACAGGGAAGTATTTTTAATCAAAGATCTTTTGCAGTTTCTGAATTAGCTGAAAACACAGTATGTTCATGCTCTTCTGACAAAATGTACTTACTTCTAGTGCTAAAACAAATCTATAGAGGAAATACTAATATATTAGATCTCTGAATACCAAATACACCTGGAAGTGAAAGAAACTGATTAGCTCAGGATAGTTACCTGAAATTACATTTAACCACCATTGAGCAACCTACTTGAACTTTCTAGGTTATATATGGCTTCCTTTGAGTAGTAGGGGGTTTCTAATTAGATAATAAAACAAGTCCTTTGAGCTTTATCACAGTAAACTGACATAAATTCTAGCCAACTATTGTTAGTGACCTTACAGTGACAATGGATTAATCCTACTGTCAGAAGTATAACTCTAAACACAATTTTTAAAAGTCCAAGTTAAATGCTTTCATCTACGCTGTGTGGTAGAAAAATATAAAATGAAGCTATTCCTCATTCAGAAAAGCAGGAAATGTCATAATCAATGTATGATACTAGTACAAATCTATTCTTCTGTACCTAGTCTGGTTCAAGTCTTTCATGTAATCAGCCCAGTGGCTCCTCAGCTCCTGAAGTCTTTGTGCAGACCCCCACTCCACATTCTGTGTTACTCCAGTATGGGACGCATTCCTGGCAGACTCTAAAAAAAAAAAAAAAAGGGAATTTGAGTCACAGCTGTTTAATTAGGGTATCTTAACATTAAAGGCTGACTTTTTAGAACTTGCAGATCTCACTGATTGAGTCATCCAGATGGAATGAACATATGTTGTTCTTTGTTTATGAAAACACAGTAGGCGCCCTGAGATGAGGGGTGACAGGACTAAAGTTGTCCTTACAGAGCTCAGCCAAGCTGGTGTTGCAAAGCCCTCATGTAAAACCAGTAAACAGTATGATAGCACTTCAGTCTGTTGACAGCAGAGAAGGATGGGTTTCCTTAAAGCTGCAATTCTGACTCCATCACCTACTTATAATGTATATATTATCCTTATAACTGCCTTACTCAGCCAGTTTAAGAACCAATTTCAAGAGTTGGGACTATCCAATGAGAAGACTTTGCTTAGGAATGGAGCCTTATTGACCGAGTTCTCCAGGTTAAACAAAATGTGCAGTACACATAAGAGCCAGCCCATCAGCTTCTTACTGACTGATAAAATCAGTGTATGTTGAGAGATACAGTTAGTTTCATTTTCCATAGGAAAATTAATACAAATGATGCTGTAATATGAAAGCCCTTCTGCAATTTGGCAAAGGAGCTCTGGTGCTGATACATGGAAAAGATTTCAGATAATTCAGGTGCAGTATATATTAATGTTTTTCTTGGAAATAATACTTAAATGTATCTTTTTTTTCCTTAGGTCAGAAGGATTTCGTAAAGTTCCCTACCACTACTATGAGCCAGGAAGAGATGAGTGTGAGGAATACTTTCTGCATGAAAATGCTCCATATGGAGGCCATAGGTTTATCACAGAAAAGAAAGTATTTGCTAAATGGGCCAAGAAGCACACAATAATATTTACACACCCCAACTGGACAGTGTCTTGATACTGGTTTTCTTAACTCTCCTTTAACATCATACTACAAAAATGTCTCAGTTTACAATAATTTTGCTTACATATGGCTGGCCTTTCTCAGCCTAGGTAACACTAAACTAAAAACTGGAAGACAAAGAGGGTGATGGTTCAGCTGTTAAGCAAAATTAATCATCTGTGGAAGGCAGGCACATTGTTATTTCTTAGGGTTTTACTCCACACAATGCACTTTATACTTTAACTGGATTTTACTTCAAGGCAGTAGCAGTTAAAGATGGATGAGATTTCCTGTATATACAGGTGCACCTAGAGAACCTGGTGGTCCTTTAAAAATTGTCCATCACCTTAGTTAATTAATTTGCAGTACTACAGCACTAGTTCCATATGTGGTATTAGTAGAAATTTTCCACAAAAGAAATATGAGGAAAATATAGACCTCCAAGGTCTATGAGCAAGTAAATTTTAAAAAACACCTGAATACATTGATACATGTGAGCCCTTGCATATATGGTAAAATCAGAGATGAGCTAAACATGGTTCTTGAACTGTACACAACTCTCATGATAAGGTGTTATTTACTCAAAGGCTCCTGATTAATTCATAACTTCTGAAATGCAGCTTCCTTCTGCCCTGGTCAGGCTGCACCATCTTGGATGATGTTATGTGCTTTTTGAGGCTGTTGTCTCACAGTTTAGCTCTAGCAGCATGGCACTTAGCAAAGACTGTGTTTTGCAGTCCATGCTGAACCTTTGGCCATTGTACCAAGCCTGATGTCAGTACCCAAGCTGATTAGTGCAAAGTTGTCTCATGAGCATCTCCATTTACTCCAGTTGTGCCTTTGAGTTTCTCCAACATCCAAATACCAGTATTTTGACAGTATTTCCCATGTAGCCATCATAATTTATTTTAAATATCCAGTTTTTCCATCTTTAAAAACAGGGATAGTATCTGTCTACCTCACAAGGGAGTTGTGAGGATTCATTTAAGTCCATAAAGCACTTTCCTGATGAAGAATGCTACAGAGCATTTATTCTTAAAACAAAAACAGTGGTACCTGTCATTTATTCTTGTCTGCTGAGTATTTGAAGAAAGTTACAGCATGTCTGGGGCTGATGGCAAATTGTTCTGTGCATCCACTTTCCTAACAGGATAATTCGTAATACTGAGTTCTCTCAGCTTGCATTGCTTCAGATGGAGTTGAAAGAACTCACCACCTTGCAGTATTATCTGCACATTAAGAGGCAGTTCAAGAATTTAAAAATATACTCATCTCTAGCTGAAATATGTATTTCCAAGCTTACTCTCATCGAAAATTTTCAACTGCAGCAGACTGATTTGTAATATGACCAATAATTCAACTACACGTGAGTTTTATTTAAACTGTATTTAAATTAATGCTTTAAGTTTATAATGTGTCCTACAAATATTTTAACATCTGGAATGTCAGATTCAACACTGTAATAGCCAATACTGTGAACACTTGAAAGAATTGTGTGTGGAACATGACACACAGTGTTTACTCACACTACTTAAACATTAGCCAACAGGAAACTTTGTATGCTTTTGTAAATCATGAAAGGGGAAAGTAAAAAGCTATTTTTACATGTAAGTATTTGTATACTGACTATTTCCTATTGTATATTTGTATATATAAATCTATATTTTATATGTTCATGGCATATATATTCTCTCATCAGCAGCGGCAACTCTGAGGATGGGTAGGAAATTTCTTCACCATTGTTCTTCCTCCTGATCATTGGTTTCTTGTTCCTGTTGGTAGGTGATGCCAGGATATCATCCTTCTCACCCCTTCTAATTTCTACTGTAAATGCAGTTTTATGGTTTTATTTCTAATATAGCTCACCTTTCACTGCTTACTTTAGCGCTGTAAGTGTTCATGCTGGTTGTCAGATATAGGCTGGGGCCATGCTTATGATCCTGGGTAAACATCTGTATTCAAATACAGGGTCTGTCCCAGACTTCTTGCGCAACTTGATGTCTCACCTTCCTGTTTTCGAAAGGAGAACAATAACATTTTTGTGCTCCCTGTCTTGACTGACTTTCTTATAAGCTCTTGAGACAGGTATTCTCATTTGCAATATATTTGTATAATGCCTTGCAGAAAAGATACCCAAAGTGTCTGAAGGCTACAGGCAATGCTATAATATACAAATAATTTGAAGTGGCTGCTTCTTGTCCCTGGAGTTTAAAATCAATTGTAGGCTAATATAGCATGGGATGAAATCAAGAGGGGGAAGGGTCATGGATGGATGAAGTCGTAGTAGCAAAAGACAGTGAGCTAGATTTATCGCCATATGCATATGCTTCTTTCAGTTCAGACGGATGACTGGATAGATAGAAAGCTAATAAAAAAAATAAATTGTAATGCAGGGTTTGAAGAATGCAGGACACACAGAACGAGGGAGAACATTCCACATATATTGTACAGGGCAGCCTGGGAAAACCTATAGCTCCCTTATGGGAAGAGGAGCTGAAAAGGAGAATATCAGTCAAATTGAACTTGTATTTAGAAGGTCTTTGGGTTGGTAGAAAGTTACTATGAAAGTGCTGCACATGTAAGTGCAGTTGGGCTGGACAGACTTACAGAAGTGTCCTGATGAATCATAGTCCCCAACAAGCACAGCGTAAGGATTCTGCCTGAGTTGTGTTGACGTACAAGGTGGTTTTCAAGCCTGAGAAACTTTTTAAGTTAATTAAGACTTGTCAAATCACCATAAATCTGTTGTAAAATATGTGCTTCATACTGAAGCTCCTTGTAGAGTGCTTGCATGCTGTATGAAACAATATCTCATGCAAAGGCTAGCTAAGAGAAATAAAGCTCTAAGAACAGCTAAATGTACAGCAAAATTGACAACATCATTAGAGTGCAGTTGTCACAAAGTAAAAGTGTTGCTCTCTGCTTGGATTTGCAGTAAGAACAGATCCACTTTTAGAAACATTGCAGCAGGCTTCATTCACACTACAGTAAATGAACATCAGTTACCTTATTTAAATGAGTCTGTCTTTAGCATAAACTAAACACGTATTTGCATGATTTCTATTATATGAGTAAGGAACTGTGACCACTGTGTTAAAGATGATTCTACAAAGAAATTACTTTGTCCAAATCTGTTAAAAATCAGCACTGTAATACTGAAGGATGAATCTCAATACTTGGCTGGGGAGTAAGAGACCTTGATGATTCACCTTTTGAGAGCAGTTAAGACATCAGCTGAGAATCATTTATTAATTCTTTAAAATAAAGCCTACTACAGTTTACCTGAATGTATGTAATCAGATCCTAATTGCTTATTCCTTCAAGCAGTCCTATTTCAATCAGCTACTCGTGTATAAAATAAGCAGGGAGTTTATCTGAGATTTTCAAAATAGATCTTCATATTGCTGCTAATAGAGGAATACTCACAAATAAGTTGGTATACTTTTTGCCATCAGTCAGCTATGTAGTCAACAAATGTTTTCTTTTATAATTTAGTTAGTTTTTTAAAATACACTTTTTGAAGAAAAATAAGGCTTTTATTGTTTGGCTTGCTGTAGGCTTGCTTTTAATGAAAGTTTAAATTTTAATATACTTTGTGTTTTATGTTGCATTACCTTCTGATTTAATGTTTTTTTTTTTGTTTTTTTTTTTTTCAAATTAAAATAGTTGTAAATAGAAGCAGAAGTTTTCCTGAGGGGAAAAAAAAAATATCTTTTTGACTGGATAATTACTAATTCACAGACAATTATCTGAATAACATAAAAAACTAGGTTTTGTTTTTCCAAACAGACAGAGTAGACATGATCCCAACCTTTTCATCCCTGCTAGATGTCCAGATCACATCCTTCTGTTTATACTAAGGCCTCTTCACAGAAAGAAAAATGTAGTCTATGTATTCAGCCAAATTCCCTTTCCATCTGGGCTGGGAGGCTCCATCTGCAGATTGCTTGTATCAGTTACATCAGTAAGCGGGAAGGGCTGAGGAAGAGTTCTACTTAGGAGCAGATGGTGTTCCAACTTCTGAAAAATGTCCCTAAAGTGCTTTAAGAGAGGAGTATCCATTGATCTCTCCTGGAAATACTTCACCAATGTATTCTGTTTCTTCAAATGCCTTTAGCTCCTGTGTAGAACTATCGTCCTACTCTCTCCAGTAAGGATTACCAGCGTTGGAAAAAACATGCCCTTTACAAGAAAAAATAGAGGCAAATTCTGTGCTGTTAAAGATTTCTGTATAAACAACACCAGGGATGAATAAGTCAGCCTGACACAAACTATCTGAAGACCCACTGATTTAGGAATCTCTCAGAGCTCAATTCAAAACTAATGAAAATCACTTCGGCAAGTTCATGAATACAACACCCATCCTAGTAAAATCTTTGCACTCCTGGGTACTAAAGTAAGCAGTGTTTTCTTTCAGAAGTACCATGTGCACATAATGCATCGCATAGTTAATAAAGAGAAGCCCATCTAACACTTGGAGGGCTGATGCAGATGGTCTTTATATATCTGCTCATGGGCGGGACAAAAGTAAGATAGCTGGCAGCAAAGCACAGATGTTCAACTAGAGGACATGTACAGGTAAGTAAGAATTAAGTAATCACTCATGAATTATAACTGGATGGTGCCCTTAATAAGTAGAAAATGAGAAGCACTTTACATGTTGATGCTTATATTTTGCTGACATTATTTTCTGCATGCATCTCAGAAATAGCATGTGTCTTTAGTTGTGCTCGAGCAGGTTGGGGGCTTGTTTATGATGAATCTTAGGGTAGCCGCAAGAGTGAAACTCTGTGGTAGTGCTAAAGGATCCCATAGGAGCTGTCTGTGGGAATTGCGGTGTACTGTGTACAACAGAGTCATGCATTTACTAAAAAAGGCCTGTTTTTCCTGACTAGGCATAGTTCTTTTGAGGAGAAAGTGTTTCATTTTCAGCAGATGTGTCTCATTCTGTTCCTTCTTTCCTGAGAGGATGCAGAGGAATGTGACTTAACCATGGGGGAGTGAAGAATGATATGGTAAATAGCCAACCACCAGATTCATATATATTTTTCTGGCTATTGCTGTGATGTATAGCTAATGACACCGAGAAAAGCAAGCTTTTTGTAAACCTTGTATCGCATAATCTACAGAAGTCTCACGTGTCTGTTCTGGAGTAGAGTCTCCTAGGCGAACCCTCAAGGAAGGGGCTGAAGGAGAGAGTCTCTCCCCATTGAGAGCCAGGGCTTCTGTGGAAGCCGTAAGAATCTGTGAGGCACAGCTGGGCCTGTGCCCCCAGCTGTGGTGGGCTCCCCACCCCGCCGCAGCTTTGGGCCCTTTCCAGCCCCACAGGATGAAGCACGTTCCCCAGCTGATTTATGCAGCCTGGGAGCTGCACAAAGGCTGCCCTATCCTCCCCTTCTGTGGGGCCAGGGGAGCGGTGGTGCTAATTCAGGAGCGAGGAGTGACTGGTGTCAGAGCAGGGACGCTCCCCCAGGTTAGCAGCATGGCCTTGCTTGGGCACAGTCTCACCTCAGGTGCTGAACTCAGTTTCTCAGAATGTGATGGGGAAGATATCACTGGGTTTTGTTATTGTTTGTATGACTAACTCACAAAGAGTGACCATTTTATGGTTGTCTTAAACAGCTGATTTTGTGTCTTTTTTTGCATTGCTTGCTGCTATTTCTGGGAATTCCTCAAGATATGCAGCTGTCAGCATCTGCCACTGCTGTTCTGATTTACTGGCCATAAAGAGACTGTAAACTTGAACTAATGCATGTTCTTACCATGTATTATGCATGATAGCATGTTACGCATTTTATTCTCGCACTATAATAAATAATGTAAGTTGTGTGTAATCTTAGTTTAAGCAGCAGAAGTAGTGTTTTTTCTTTCTCTCATATCATGTGTTGCCCCAAGCACTTTGCTGGAGCTCTGTAAGTGCCATTAGCAACTGGAAGCAAATAAATTGTTGAAAGCAGTCAGGAAATATGTACTGAATTTGACATTTTTCCTTGGAATACTGGAAATAGTTAAACTTGCTTTTGTGAGCCTACTCAGGTGCTCACAGTCACAGTTCTATGTTCTGTTATAAGGATATCTCACATCTGAGTGTAACATCAGGAATGACTTTATCGACATGGATAGTGTTAAGATGTTGGCAGAGCAGCGACCACAATTTTTTTACATTATGGGAGTATCTTTTTAACGGGAATTGCACACGTAGAACATTGGCTAGGATGCCTGTAGTTTTTTCATATTCTTGCTGCTGAAAATAGTATTTCTGAGGATGGCCGGAGGAAAAAGAAATTGTGTGCTCACTGCTCTTTTGGCCGTTCATCTATCCCCTCTTCATCCACACAGATCTGCAAACACAAAGGGTGTCTATAAGTAGTCTTTTTTTCCAGATAGTGTCAAGTAAAACTAATTAAGACTAATATAAATATAGTAAATGTATAGTAAAATATGGTAAATACAGGTTATAGTACTTGTTGATTCATATTTATTCTGTATATTTCCAAAGCCTATGTCTACACTGGTGAGGAATTAGCTCAGCTGGATCAGATCTGTAGCCTGAAGCGATGCAAAGGACCAAAGGACCTGATTTCCACACCATACACAGTCTCTAGTCTGGTCCCAAGGGCTGAATGCCACTAGTTCTCGAAGCACATCTTTTAGTTTCATCCAAAAAGAATCTAGTTCACATCCTCAGGACCACTCCATCATGAAAACTAAAGCTTGTTAAGTGAGTCTATACTAGGCTGTCCCACAGGAAAGTGAATTCCTGTTAGCCCACCTTCTGGCTAAATAGAAGCCGCCTGCTGTTTTTTTTTTTTTTCCCTGCTTGAGCTTTGCATGGGTATTTTTTTGCATATATATTTTTATTTCAAATCTGAGATCTGATTCCTCCTGTCAGATCATGGGAATCTAGGGCTCCTGACTCCTCCTAAAATTAGCATCCAAATGTGCTCCATAAATCAGGAATGTGGTATAGGACAGAGTAATCCAGCATGGGTACAGCATGGGAAGTGCTTAGTTTGATGAAGAGTTAACTGTGATTCCACTTGTGGATGCGTTTTTATCATGAACGTGTTAGATTCTTGCTAATGCATGCATTGTTTTTATACTGCATCACACATAAAAATTCCCTTCATCATTTTCCCCGGGGTATTTTTGTTCTTGTGGCCCTCCAGTTGTATCTGTATACGTGTGCATATGTGCATGTATACACAGTGTACAAGAATTCTTCTGTTTTTAGACAGTTGCTACTATATGCTGCTAACATAAACTTATTTAGAAAGTTCATGTTATGCTATTTATTACATGTATTCTTTGGTTGCCTTTTTGTAATGCTGACAAGTGTATTCATAGTAGATATCACTGTAGACTTAGAAAACTTTCATACTATTTATACTTATTTTAGAAGTTCTGCCATGTGTTTCTCTGCTATATGCTACTTATTTTTTGCTCCCATTTGGAGAATGTGCTTCTATGTACTTGCAGAATTGTGCCTGGGTTATTTTAAAATATGAATAAATGTATACAATTTTCAAATTGTCTGACATAATTTATATATGATTTTGTGCTAAACACTTTTATTCTTGTTTATGTATATGCCACTATAATACCTGACAGTTCACTGAACTCAAAGAAACAAAGATCTCTGTTCTAGAAAGTATTGTAATCTACTGCACACAAATATAAACTATGCCTAAATTATATCTTCATTGACCTTAAAGACATTTTAAGGCATCTATCCTAAACATATCCAGTAATGTTAGGTAAACACAGACACAAAACCTACACTTACAGTAACTTTTTTTTTTTTTTTATTTCTGTGTGTTAAAACACGTTGCACACACACATGCACACAGAAATGGAAATTTATAAGAAAGGAAAATTGGATCCTATCCATACAAGGTACATTCTTCAAGCACTCTATCAGAGCATAGCATGCTCAGGAGTCAAGTCATTGAAACCCCTAGGAGTGGACATTCAGCACACACTTGAGAGAGCTGTATAAGACTGAAGGGCTGTGGGAGAGATCACATCTCATGAAAAAGTGCAAACCTCTACTTGCACCTACAGTGTTGACAAGAATGCGGGGCGGGCTTACATAACTTCTCTTCCATCATGCATTGGACCCCATCGTGCTGAAAGGGAAAGGGAACTGGAATTCTTTTAGCCTCCAATTTTCCTCTTTTATTGCCCAGCTAACAACATGATTAAAAAGCAACAGGCTTCAACATGTGAATTTTAACTTAGTCTATATGTGCTGAATTAAATACAGATAGACTAATTGGGTTTGTGAAAGAACTAGAGATTCCAGGTGTGTTTGTCAGCACTGGCATATATAATGTAGCAACTGTCATAATCTAATTTTGGTCTAGATTCTGGTAGTCAGGTACTCATGGCACAGAGATTTGTTTCCTTTACGAACTGGGCTATTTTGTCAGCCACCACAATGAGGGAGAGGTTCTGCAGTAAGACCAAAACTAAATAAAGGGAAGAAATGCCATTCAGATGCTCAGCTTTGCGGGTCCTTCAAATCTGATATGCTGCCAAGGGGCTTGTTAAGAATTTGTGTGTTATTTTTCAGACATACTATCTGAATATACCGTAACGTTCCCTTCAGAACAATTACAGTGTGAGCTGTGAATGCATATTAATAGCATGCTGTAATATGGATTCATTTCACTCTTTTTCCATGCAGAACAGTTGGGTTTGTATATTGCTCTGGAAGTACATTCATACTTAATAGTATTGTATTGGGATGTGAATGCCATTTTACTTATCACGAAACTAGATACTCAGGTAAAAAAAATAGTTTAATTATTGAATTTTCCCCCTTAGACCTTTTCAAACCCTTATAGAATAATCTATCCCCCTGAAGATTTTGTTCCTGTGGCTTTATATTTGGATTTGATTTTATTAGTTTGCACCAGATCACTCAGTAATCCTTGTCAACTAGTCTCAGCGATCTTTTCTTTTTATTACCGACTGCTTCCTTAATTAATGTCTTTTGCAAACCTTTGGGTTTTCTTCTGAATTGTTGATAAAAATGTTAACTAGAGTATACCCAGGAAGCTATCCCAGCAGAATACCTATTCTGTGATCATTCCCCATTTAAATTCACATTTTGAAATGTCAGTTAACCAGGTTTTGATTCATTTAATGTGTGACATACCGATTTTGTATTATCATGGTTTCTCAAATATCATGAATACTACATCAAATGTCATATAGAATCAATATATATCGAGAGTGTTGTGTTTTGTTTATAGTCACAACTGGAGAAAAAGCCAGCAAATGTGTTTGACAGTTATCTATTTTCCATATTGCACTTAGATTGGCTTTTACTATATTTCTCCTCTTTAATTAGTTAGTAATTGAGTCCCCTGTCAGCCATTCCATTATTTTGCTCCAGATCAATTTCAGACTGACAGGACTGTAATTATCTAGGTCATTAAGTTTATCCTTCTTAAATATTAACACAACATAAGTTTTCTTCCAGCTTTCTGGAACTTTCTCAATTGTTCCAAGACTTAACAAAAAGCAGTAATAACAATAGAGATTCCTCTGTCAGCTCTTTAACAACTCTTGTGATACAAGTTATCTGAAGTATCCTATGCAAATATTTATTACTTCAGTAGCTTCCATTTAATGTTTTTCTTCGGGTTTTTTTTGTTGCCTGGTAGTTCATCATCCTCATAGTGCATCACCAATTGTCTGCCCTTTCCTTAAATACTGAACACAAATACTTAATGAATGCTTCTTTCTTGTCTTCATTACTCTTAACAAATCTTTCACTTCAATCTGATAAAGAACTGGTACCATTGTCAGGATTCCTAATGTATTTTAAAAATATTGTCCTTAATTCTCTGGCCATAAATTTCTCCTTACAACTCGGCTACACTTATTGGAGGAATTATTTATGTAATTCCTTACTTCTACTCTATATCTAGGGTTATCAACTTTCTTTCTTCATTTCATTGATTTACCATTACGTAGAGGCTTTCATTAACCCTTTGAGATAGATATTTTTTTAAAACATACAGCTTTTTTTCCTAATTTTACAGCTATTAAATTAAGTATTTGTATTTTCCAGTTATTGATCAGTTCTCACCCATAGCTGATTCTCCTTTGCAATAATTTTTAGTTTGGTAAAAAGACTGCACCATCCATATTCCTGTTTGGGCTGCATTCTCTTTATGGCCATAGAGAGCAATCAAGCTATCATCACAGCCAGTAATACTTAGTTCTCTTATCAAGTCCTCTGATCTCTTTTCATTATTTGTGAGATGAGATCTCATAAAATTCTCATTTTGGAGAGTTTTCCTCTTTGGTTTAAGAAATGTTTATATATAATGTTCAAAATTTCTGCAGGGGTTTTAGTACCAGCATCATGAAACTTTAGGCATTATGTCAGGCTGACTGAAATCTCAGATGATAGTGCAGCTTTTTTGCCATAGAGTTACACTCTTCTTCCCCTTCTCTCTACTTGATCTTTCCAAAATAGGTTATAGCCATTGATTTTAATGTTCCAGTTATGTAGTTCTTCCCATCTAGTGTCAGTAACACCAGCTACACTGAGTTTATAAATAGGTAATTCTGATTCCTTTCCCTTTTTTACCCAGATTCCTTAGTATTGGTTTATAGAAAATCTACTACTTGTACATCCTTGATTAATTTTGGTTTTGCCATCTTGACTTCACACTCAATGAGAATTCATTTGTATTTTTGTTTGGCCGGGTTTGGGTTTTTTCAATTCCCCTTTTAGCACTCATTTTCAGCCTCTTCACTAGCAGGCTGTTTGCCTTTCTACTGAACAGGAGACCACCCAAACTGTGCCATCCTTTAACCTGAATCAAAAGACAGATGCTCCATGTTCAGAATCTTTTTTTTTTTCCTGTCTTCTTTCATTTGCCAGCCAAAGATAATATCCTAGAGAATCGTGCAGGTATTCATCTCCTTCAGCAACATTCAGGATTTCCTGAACTGGTGTAAGATCTGTGAGACAGCCCCCTATGAAGTAGAGTCACGATGCTTAATGTGTAATCACTGACGATTCTTGCTCTCTGACACTGGATGTCTGTTCAATCTTAAAAGACCTACCTTGCGTCCAGGCTGTGCAGGAACACACTACTGTTACCTACTTTTCCTTTTCAAAACAGTCTTCCCATTCATCTTTGTATCTCCAGCCTTTTCCCCAGATTGGTTTGGCTACCTATGATCCCTAACTGTCTTTTTTGAAAAACACTTCTGCCTCTGGAGGATTCTGAATTTGGGCTTTGGTGAATCAGAGATGGGGGAAAGCTGTCTGTTTTCAAATAAAAATGTAGGCTATTCTAACACATCTGCTTGAGCCCTTATTTTTATTGTTGCACAGGGAAACTAGAACTCTGTGAGCAGTGCAGTCCCTGGGCTAGCAGCTCCTGTCTCTACTCTGGATCGGCAGAACTTGGGAACTACACAGTCTAGGTTCTGAGACGGTATGTAAAGTGATCAGAGGATCTGTCAAAAAATGAAATAAAGAACTGGCTTGTTTTGTCAGAAGGTTGATCAAAATCTGTATCTTTCTGTGGGAGATTTAAATGTCAACCAACTAGCATTCTTCACTGGAAAAAGCAAAACATTCTACAAGAGAATTTCTGATTAACTCTTCTCCTTTCCAGAGGAGAGCTATCTAAATTAATTGTCTTTGACAGGTGAGGTCTGTTCTCATCTTGGTACAAGAGATAAGGTACTGGTTACAACACATCTGGGTAGAATTCCACAGCTTTTTAATTACAATAAAAGCACTTATCAAAAATGTCTTGTAAACTGAGTGTCAACAGTGTTTGGATTGCAGCTGCCTGGCCATGGGGTTTGATGACTTACCTGTTTAATGATGTGATGAAACATTATCCTGCATTCTGTGACCAACTTTGCCTTCAACCTATTCTTATAGTGCCTATAGTTCATCAAGTGCTACTGCTCAGGCCTTGACATAAGGCTAACCAAATCCATTTGGTCTCACATTGCCTTTTTTTATCAGCACTTGAAAAGATGTTCAGTTCATTGTTCTGACGCACTACAAGTTGCCTTGCTTTATCATCTTAGTGACTTGATTGATGAAAGATACTTGGTATATGGTGATGTCACCTAGCAAAAAGTCTGATTGTTTCCTTGTCCTATGTGTTCGTTCTGCAGAACTAGGAAGAGAGCTATGCAAAGGTGTTCCCTGAAGATACTATATAGTCTTGAAATCCTCCAGCACCTAACTTTGCAGGATATGTCCACAGGGTACAGTACAAGTCCATGCCATGCAGAGATACTCTTGCTGGTTCTGAATGAACAAAATATGTCTGCACACAAATGACATACCATTTGTTACATTTTTGCAAGGAAAAACATGAAAAAAAATTGACAGAGCACAGCGCCAGAGCTCATCTTAAATACCTAGTTTCTATGGCCTGTTCTGTGAACAATAGGTTGAATTACTTGGAATTGTCAATCACTTCTGATATTGTGTTGATTAATTCACATACACAAAATAACGTGGTAGAAATCTC